AACTTTATTTTAGTTTAGTAGAGTTTACTATGAGCGCCAGAAGATTAGAGGGTGTTACAGAGAGTACAAACATAAAAAAGAAGAAGGGAGATAAGGACGATAGATGTTTGATAGGAAAGAAGGAGCAAACCACACCAGAGCACCCGCCAACCGCTCAAGAAACTGACGAGTGCCCGATTTCCACCCCGTCGTGACCCATTTAAAGAATAAAAACATACCTGCATGGACGCGGTTAAGTTTTGGTACGAATTTTACGGTACCGGCAACACGAAAAAGGTCATAATATAAGTACCGAAGATTAGAACTTTGTTTGTTTGAGTAAGCAAAAGCACATCGACACACTTATTATGGTCATTTAGTGGTGGGATAAAGTGATGTTTTAGTTTTAGTAAGGGTGTTAAGGCACTTGCAACACAATAAGGTCATAATATAAGTCCCAAAGATGTGATGTGTTACAAGAGACAGACAGACAAACACAAACAAAAAACAAGAAAAAGGGTAGGATAAGAATGATAGGGATTAATATTTTAAATATGAAAGAAAGAGCCAACCACACAAAATCACCCGCCAACCAGCAAGTCCTACCTTGATACCGCTGAGGATCTCGTTCATGATCTTTAACCTCTCGTCCTTGACCCTCAGCTGCTCCGCCTGGGCCCGCTTCGCCAGCACGGAGATGCGCGCGTTGAGCGGGATGAGCGCCACGATGACAGCCACGCCCGCCACAAACGACACGCCCAGTTTGTCGTTCAGGAAGTAGAACGCCATGCAGATCTAAAGGAAACAACAAAAAAGAGGGGTGATGAGGTAGGGGGGGGAGGTGGGGGAAAGAAGCGTGACAGAGCGGAGACAGAAAGAGGCAGAAAGGAATGGAGGGGGGGGGGGGGCGAATCAGACAGGTTTAGTTTAGTTTTAGTTGAGGTTTCAAGGCGCTCGCAACTGCATAAGGTCATATGAGTGCCAGAAGATTAGAGGTGTTACAAGAGAGTGACAAACATAAAAAAGAAGAAATGGAGATAAGGACGATAGATGTTTTAGTTTTTGTTTTAGTAAGAGTTTTACGGCACTTGTCACACAATAAGGTCATATACGTGCCGAAGATTAGAGGTGTTATAAGAGAGTAACAAATACGAAAAAGAAAGAGGGGAGATAGAGGCGATAGATGTTAAATTGGAAAGAAGATTCAGAGCACCCGCCAACCACCCACAAAAGAGTGGTGGGGATAAGAAGCGTGACAGAGCGGAGACAGAAAGAGGCAGAGAGGAAGGAGGGCGGGGTGTGGCGAATCAGACAGGGAGAGGGACAGGAGATAAAAGGGAAAGAAAGAAAGTAGAAAAGGGAATGAGATAGTGAAGAAAAAGAGAATATATTATATTATTTAGAACAAACAGAAGGGGGGGGGGGGGAAGAGATATCCAGAGAGATAGAGAAACGTCGAAAGCTACTGAGAGAAAGGGAGAGACAGGAAGTAATAGAGAGTGCTACAGAGGAAGAAAATGACAGACAGAGAGATGGACGTGCAGACATATGAACATACTGATATACAATCATATAGAAAGAAGAGAGAAAGAGAGAGAAAAAGAAAGAAGGTGAGCAAGAGAAGCAGGCAGACAGACAAAGAACAAGAGAGATAGGAAGAGAGAGGGGAAGAGAGAGAGGGAGAGAGGGAGAGAGAGGGAGAGGGAGAGGGAGAGAGAGAGAGAGAGAGAGAGAGAGAGAGAGAGAGAGAGAGAGAAAGATGTACATAGAGAAAGATACAGAAAAAGACAGATAGATTGACAGACAGACAGACAAACAGACACACACACACACAAACACACACACACACACGGACACACAGACACACAGGCACACAGACACACAGACAGACAGTGAGAGAGGGGGGGGGAGAAAGAGAGAGAAAGAGAGAGACAGACAGACAGACAGAGAGAGAGAGACAGAGAGATACAAAATACCAATCAATTTACTCCACGAAAGTCAACCCACCTGGAAGGGCGCAGAGACGACTATGAAGATGTTGGAGGTGACGTCCTGAAGGATCTGGCAGTCGATGGCCATCAGGTTCACGATACTGCCCACAGTGAACTTGCGCCTCATCTCGTTGTTCATCGTTAGGGACTGAAAAATATGAGTTTGTAGCATGACGAGACATATATATCTTTTATATATTATCTTGAGATCAGCTTGGACATTTTCTCTTCTTTATCTCATGAACTCAAGTGTGAGGTAATACACATCACAACAAGACACAAGGTGTTGCATAAAGAGTTGTGTCCTTAATTAAAGAAAAAAAGAAACTTAACAGGAATTTTCCTCACTTTGTTGTCCTTGAGAAAGGCACCATGCACGGATTATTCTCATTTTGTGTCCTTGGGAAAGGCACTTAACACGAATTTTCATCATTATTCTATTATTGTTATTGTTATTGTTATTATTATTATCATGATTATCAATATTATTGTTATTATTATTATCATTATTATTATCGTATTATTATTAC